CCCACACACACATTCAGTGGATCCTGTGCTCCTCCCACACACACATTCAGTGGATCCTGTTCTTCTGCCCCCATCCTCAGTGGATCCTGTGCTCCCCCCACACACACCCTCCGTGGATCCTGTGCTCGTCCCACACACACCCTCCGTGGATCCTGTGCTCCTCCCACACACATATTCAGTGGATCCTGTGCTCCTCCCACACACACATTCAGTGGATCCTGTTCTTCTACCCCCATCCTCAGTGGATCTTGTGCTCTGCCCACACACACATTCAGTGGATCCTGTTCTTCTACCCCCATCCTCAGTGGATCCTGTGCTCCTCCCACACACACCCTCCGTGGATCCTGTGCTCCTCCCACACACACCCTCCCTGGATCCTGTGCTCTTTCCACACACACCCTCCGTGGATCCTGTGCTCCCCCCACACACACCCTCCGTGGATCCTGTGCTCCTCCCACACACACCCTCCCTGGATCCTGTGCTCCCCCCACACACACATTCAGTGGATCCTGTGCTCCTCCCACACACACATTCAGTGGATCCTGTTCTTCTGCCCCCATCCTCAGTGGATCCTGTGCTCCTCCCACACACATATTCAGTGGATCCTGTGCTCCCCCCACACACACCCTGAGTCGGTGGTAGGAACAGCAAACCGGGAGGTCTTCCCTAGAACAAGGCTAAGGAAGGAGAATGCAGACCAGATGAGCACAGCTACTGCTAAAACCACAGCCTCTAGAACCTTCTCTCTCACCAGAGCTCGGAAGGGGAAGGCAGCCGCGGGGTTGGTCAGTGTTCAGAGACAGGCTCTCGTTTTACTTGAATGGGAGTCATCCCCCACCGCCAAAAACAAAAACAAAACTTTTATCAGAGCTAGATGAGAGAAATGAAGTTCCATTTTAGCTTTTTGCCTTGCTGCAAGCGTCGTCCAGTGTCGTGAGTGTGCAGGAGCCCAGCTTTCTAATTCCTCTTCTGTTTTCCATAGAGTTGTATCTTTGTTTCACACTATTTAAACTAAACGCCACTTGTCGTTTTTGCAGCAACACCAGATGCAGGAGAAGATCCCAAAGTGACGCGGGCTAAGTTCTTTATCCGAGACCTGTTTTTGGTAAGCAGTTTGAGTCTTTGTTTTCTTACCACCATAGAGTGATATTGTTTTCTGCAATGTACATATTACTTACCCTTTCATGATCTCATTTAATCTCCCCCTGAATTATGAGAGATGAGGGAAGGTGTCGCTTCCTCTCCCCACTGAGCATACCGAGGTTCAGAGAGTTTGGACCGCTCACCTCAGGTCACACAGCTTCCAAGCAAGAACAGGGAGCATAGCACTTCTCCTACTGTGCCCAAGGCCCCAGGGAATGGCACTGAGAAGAGCCAGACTGTGGTCACTTGTTGTATTTTCCAAAAGGAAAGAGACCTTCGACAGACCTCTCCCTTCATTCACCCCCAAAAGGCTAATTCAGACCTTCAGATAAATTCAGGTATCTCTTTCTCTCTTTTTCTTTTTTTACTTTTTATTTTGAGATGATTTCAAACTTACATAAAAAGCAAAAGACTTATACAATTAACTCCCAGATACTCTTCACCTAAATTGACCAATTGGTAAAATCTTGTCACATTTGTTTTATTTATCTATCTGTCCATCCATCCATACATACATAGTCTCTTGAATAACCTGCAGCATGTAGCTACCTGTGAGTTTTTACTAGCTTGAAACTAGTAGATGCCACAACACCAAGGACATTTTCCCAGCAGTGCCTGACAGCACTGGACACATGGACCGTGTGCTTCCAGGGAGGTGGGCGTCAGCCCAGTCTGCAGTGGGGATGGTCCACAGCGTGCCTGGCGTTTCCGTGGGGATCGGGTACCAGCCTGACTCCTCAGGGGAGCCTTTTTCTCTACCCTCTTCCCACAACGGCCCCTGTTGGTCGCCTCCTGAATCCTATACTGCGTGAGAAAGTAAAAGGAGAAGAAAATCAAGTCCCCAAAGTAAGTTCTGATGAACAGTGTTTCCCCCAACTTTAACAGGCAGCGCGGGGAAAGGCCCTGCAGTGAGGAAGTCCGGGAAATGCTGTGTAAATCAAGTGAGACAGGTTTCTCTGTCGTCAGACTGTCCGGAACCTTTGCTGTGCTGGTGTGCATGGCCAATCTCGTCAGTAAGGTAGATTGATTAGCTTGTAGCATATCACAGGCTCCCTTTTTGAGGAGCATCTTGCAAGACCATAAAATAGAAAAACACATAAAAGGTGTTCCATAAAATGCTGTTCTAATGAGAACTGAGAGTTAACTAAGTGTGCACAGTAGGCATTTAAAGATTAGAAACAGAGCTACCCCCTCCCAAAATGAATGGCCATGCCCCCACCATTCGGATGTTGGGCAGAAATCTTTTATTCTCTAACAGTGGACTCAATCTGGCTTGCATGCAGTTTGCAAGTCAGGGAAATAAAAGCCTAGGGGTTCCTGACTTACGTTTTTTATGGTGGAATTTGCCCGGGTCAGTGAGTCGTCTAAGGAGTTTTGAGTTGGAACCCCTGACCCCAGACTGTGAAGGCAGCAGGGTGGGCTGCAGACATGGTTATTGATCAGTGCTGAATCTGGACAGGAACAAATGTGGGCAAAACAATAACTTCGACGATAGAAGGCTCCGAGACGGGGCGGGGAATAAAGGCTGTACATGGAGAGGGAGAGGTATGTGGGGGGGCCTGGCCTTGAGGAGGGAAAGGTGGGCTTGGGCAGAGAAGGGGGAAGGCATAATGAGAAGAGCCCCTCAGTGAGAAAGGGCCACACACTGTGGGAGCATTCTCCTCACATGTCCTCACATGCGGAGGGCACTGGCCACCAGGAGGTTTGTCGCAGTCAGGGTCACTTCCTCCCACAACGGGGAGGCCCAAATCATCCCCAGAGCAGGAGGACCTCAGAACAGAGGGAGGGCCGGGTGGCCAGCCCCCAGTGTTCCCCTCGTCACCCTCAGGCAGCCCTGTCGCCTCAGACTGGAAACCACCAGCAAGCCCACGTCCAGACCTGGGCCAGGGGGCCCTCCGGGGCAGGCATCCCCCCAAACCTTTTAGAGCAGAAGGTTTCAAAGGCAGAGCATGAGGTCAGCACCCTGGGTCTTGATGCTCTGGCATCTGGTAGAAGCCTGCATGTTTTAACTGGCCTTCCCATCCTGGTATTTTATGAGCTCCCCTGTTTTCTTTTACCTTGAACATCATCTCCTTAAGAGAGAGCCTCGGAGATGAGGCTCAGGTGAGCCAGGCAAGCAGAGTCTGGAATGGCCCAGCTTTCCTTGACAAGCTTATTTCTGTCATTTAAAATGAAAATGTTTAGAAGTGTTAGAAAATGTTTAGTGTGTTTAGAGATAAGCCAACTACGGCACCCTCTATAACGGCTCTGCCTTATGTTCATGTTGCTCAGGCAGGGACACACTGGTCCCATCAGTACAGAAAGAAGCCTGTTCCTCACTCACCCACTGCGCGCCCCCTCCCCGGGTGCCGGTCCCTCCCCCGAGCGCTGCAGGGCTCCAGCTACCTAACCCACACGTTTCAGTGTCCATCAGTCTTGTAAAAATTGTAATTGCTCAAGAGAAGCCTGACTATTGCTTAAAATAAGTCCGTCCTCCTCCCGGGAGGACTGTCATAACTTGAGGAACATCTTTAGACAGCACAGCAGGGGGTCTCGGTTTTTCTCCAACAGCTGATTCCCAAGATGCTTTGCAGGAAGGGGGGGGGATAAGGAGGACGTGCAGGGATCCCTGTGGGCACCTATGAGGAAAGCTCCATGTGACCTCTGCATTCGCCGGCTGGGGCGGCCATAACAAAGCACCACACACTGGGGGCTTACCCAGCCTTCATTTTCTGACACTTCTGGAGGCTAGAAGTTGAGATCAGAGTGTCAACAGGGTTGGTTTCTCCTGAGGCCTCTCTCCTTGGCTTGTAGATGTTCACCTTCTCGTTGTGTCTTCACATGGTGTCTCCACATGGCCTTTCCTCTGTGTGTGTGTGTCCCAATGTCCTCTCTTCCTATGAGGACACCCATCTTACGGGATTAGGGCCCGCCCACATGACTACATTTTAACTTAAATTACTTCTTTAAAAAGAGATCCTGTCGGGGCGCCTGGGTGGCTCAGTCGTTAAGCGTCTGCCTTCAGCTCAGGTCATGATCCCAGGGTCCTGGGATCGAGCCCCGCATCGGGCTCCCTGCTCCGCGCGGGAAGCCTGCTTCTCCCTCTCCCACTCCCCCTGCTTGTGTTCCCTCTCTTGCTATGTCTTTCTCTCTGTCAAATAAATAAATAAAATCTTTAAAAAAAGAAAAAGAGATCCTGTCTCCAAATAGTCACACTCAGAGGTGCTAAGGATTAGGACTTCAACATATGAATTGGTGTGGGGAGGACACAATGTGGGGAGCCCATGACAGCCTCTCTCCGCATTGCCCCACTTAGCTTCCCAATGCACCTTGTGAATCATGACCAGTCATGCTTTTTCTCCTCTGGGAGAAAAGCCATGAACCTCCCACTGCTAACCAGGGGACACTCCCAGGAAACACTCAAGCTCTAGGTGGAGGCAGTATGACTGATCTGCGGTCCACATGGAATCACTAGCCATATGTGGATATTTAAACCCAACCAAATTAAACTAAAATCCATCTCTGTTGCATCAATTAGTAATAGTGGCTCCCATACTGGAAGGGTGAATACAGAACATCTCCACTATGCAGAGAGTTCCATTTGCTAGCACTGGTTTAGGACTGACATTCGTTTCTGGAAAATTCTCCCGATTTCTGTAAGTGGCTGTCTTTTAAATGTATGCCCTATCTCAGCTGAACCCTAAGCTTCTGTGGGCAGAGGTAAGTGTGAGGTTCTTTGAGTTTCCAGCAGTGTTCAGTATTTAAACAGTCCCTACAAGCTAAGCGTTCCTATGCCAAACCACAACCCCAGATCCTCTGGTCTTCAAAGTGTTGCCTGAATCCTTCTCCAAGAACTAATGGGGTGGTGGCAGTGTTCCCACGTACCCCTGAGCGTGGTGGCCAGGGCTCCGCCGCACAGCTTTTTTTTCTCTTTTTGCAGAGGATCAGCACAGCGACAGGGGACGGCAAACATTACTGCTACCCGCACTTCACCTGTGCCGTGGACACCGAGAACATTCGCAGGGTGTTCAACGACTGCCGTGACATCATCCAGAGGATGCACCTCAAACAGTACGAACTCTTGTGAGGCAGCCCTGGGGGGGGAGGGGGGGAGCGGGGGCGAGGGGCGCGCCTTCTCGCACCTTCTCTCCACCTGCCTCTCCTCCCTTGGCCACCCTGCCAGGTGGGGCATTTACTCCAGCACCGTCAGCCCCAAGCCATGGTCGAAAGTAGGGTGTTCTCAGTCTCGTCCGGCTGCCACCTGTCCTGTTCTGTGTTGGCTCCCGTGTGACCACCAAGCCTCTGGCTACCTCTGTTCCCCTCGGGTTTGGTTTGTAGCTTTTGTCTTCACTGAGCGCAACCTCCCCCAGCGCCCCCACCCGCACCCCTTTGTGCCACTGCAGACCACGCTCACGCGGGTGGTGCTGCAGTGAAATCCGGCCGGGTGAGGGCCCCGCTTATTCATCCACTCAGTGCTTTATTGATTCAGCAGGAGCTTGATAAATGGGGGAGGAATGGCACTTTGTTCCCGACTTATCAAGCACGACTGTAGAGGCAGGGGTACGATGCGGTCAGGCGGACAAGTGACCGCCCCTTCGGAGCTGCGTTGGCCCACGAGCTAGGCCAGACCTCAAGTCACAGAGTGGAGAGAAACCCTTTTTTCAGTCCCATTTGAGTCGCTGCCAACCTCAGGCATTAAATTAGACCTACTTTGAGCCTTTCACATTTAGGCAGACAACCTACCACACGCACCGCTGCAGTGTGTCCTGTCTCAGAATGACTCTCCAGACTCGGACTATGCTTGGACAAGAGTCTCCTTCCATATCTTGTTGTTGTTGTTGTTTTATGGCTGGTTTACTATAACTGTACAGACCACCAAATGTAACATTATTTTATATAACTACTTAAAAAATCCTTGTAGATCTTTGTGCCTTGATTTTGGCTCTATCTGTACAAGAAATGCGTTTTTCTCGTGCTCAACAGCTAAATGTCAACAGTACCTGCTGCTTGCTCTAAAAAAGAGAATGGTATCTGTAGAATTTAGGATATTTTATCAGGTTAGTACTTTTAAAAATATCCTTGATTAAATATATATATACACACACATATATAAATTATACACACGAATCATTCCCATCTTACCATTTTGTACCCACCTCACAAGCTTCTTTCAGAAACCAAGGATTTTTTCCTCCAGACAATATGTCTTTTGATTATTTTGCAATTTAAAGACTTTTACAAGCTCTCTGAGTAGAAATAGGCCAAGCATTCCCTTAGCCTGAGCTTCTGAACCACTCACTTGACCACAGTTTCTATTGTAAACAAGTAGCAAGAAGGAGACACAGGGGTGTCTGTGTTTGTGTCCAGCCTGAGAGAATCAAAAGATGGCATCTCCATTTGCCTCTTGAAGAAGAAATATTACAAAACCCTTACTTGAAATGCAAAGTCAAAATCTATGCCTGTTTCTTGCAAGCGGAAGATGTGCAAACGCAGCCTCAAAAGTTATAGTACGGTACAGTATCTAGAAAGAGACAATCGCTTTTAGCAGTGATGCTTCATATTCTATCCACAGCCACGCCTTGGAGGCTAGTTTTCTTAGGTCCAAGGTAATCTGCAAACACGTCCAAAGTTGTATTTCAACAATACGAATCCAGAAGTGATAGCCTAGCTGACGTCACTTCATTTCCTTTTAGTCTTTAATATTTTAAAGTTTACTCTAGAAGGCAGCATTTTATAATTGTTTATAAATGCATCCAGATTTAAATACAACTTGTCCAGGAAAGAGAGGATGACAACTTTCCAGGCGATCAGTGTCATAAACACGTAATTTATGTCAGCATCACTAAATTCTGGGCCTCTCGTTCCTGTTGTGTAAAACTCTGATTTGAAATGAGACACGTAAAATGGAAATTATTTTCTTTCCGTTGCGCTTTCAATGTACAACACGAAGAACTGCAGAGCTGCACCCCCACATGTACACAAAAAGCGAAGTTGTATGCTGTTACATACATTATCACTCAGCAGTTCCCTTGCAACTAAACTTCCTATTCAGAGACAGAGCCAGGCTCATAGAAGACACACAGAAAGAACACATTTTATCTGGCTTAAAATTATCAAAACATATTTATTTTTAAATACCAAAAGCCACTTCCCAGTCCTTTTTTCAAGTTTCTTTGGATCGTGGACGGGCATTACATTCACATTTAACAGCCTGGTCTGCTGGAGAGAAAATTACACTTCTCAAAAAATCTGATTCCATTATTAGCACAGAAGTACAAAAGTCTGCAAAAACAATATATTCCTGCTTGTGGCATCTGTACTTTTATTATTTTAAGTGTACAGCTTTATAACATATAAGAGTTTGAGGACCACTTTGTAGGGGGACAGAAGCAAACCCAGTGTTTGTGCAAACACAATCCCGAGTGTGTTCCCGGGCCGCTGGCTCTACCTTGGGGGATGTAGGACAGTCTAGTGCATGCAAGTGATGACTTTAATAGCTTTTACATATTGTACAGACACGATCTTTGATTATACATATATTTGATAAAATGAGAAAAGAGACTTGTTGTAGAGTACACGTTCCATTTTTATAGCATGAGAACAGTACCATCAACTATTTATTCTGCAGGAATTCGCATCAGTGATTTACAGTTTCTGTGATGTGTGTAAAGACAGCCTCCTTTGATCTCATCTCACATGAGCCCTGCCCAAGGTCCAGTTTCTTGGGCTTTGTTATTTATTATGAAATACAAAAGTCTCCTGCTCTTTACGTGGTCTTAAATTTTCTGAGCAGGTTCCAGCCAAAAATAAGAGGTGAGGGTAGAAGCCCAGAGTGAACTAATATGAGGACCACCAGGAGCCCAGCTGCTACACAGTATGTGGCCAGAACGGTGTTCTCGTAGGGGAGGTAGCACTTGGTGAGGGCGTACTCTGTGGGCGTCATACTGCCCTGGAAAGGCAATGAGAACTGTTACTGCCGCAGTGAGAGCCCTCCCACAGCGCCACGCAACAGACTTAGACACAACAGGGGAAAGACAGCCATCTTGGTTAAGCCAGGTGAGGCCAGGAAGTGGCTCTCCTCCTGAGGCGAAGGGGCACAGCCTTCGGCCTCCACAAGCCACCACCCACCAACCACAAGCACTGGTTGGAGACACGAAGGGAAGGCTCCCGGTGTGCCGAGCGGAGCTGAGCTCTCCACTGAAACTAGCCCCTGGCACAGCAGGTCCCTAGTGCAGTGGGCACACACGACAGAGATGCAAGGGGCTGGAGAGTCACATCAGTGGTCACTGAGAAACAAGGACAACAAGGCCATTTCTCATGCCATTTCATGCAGCCTGTTACCCAGAAATGCACGTGCCAGGGGCACCTCAGGGGGCTTTTTTGGTAGATGTTTTTGCGATGTGGAATGACACTGAGGAATGGTCTCATTTACTTTGAATTTGAAAACATGAAGGTTTCCCCAATCTTTTCATGAAGTAAAAGTACCTGACATAAAAGCATTAGGAACTGGGTAAAATCAACACTGGGGGGCCACTAACTGAAACAACATGTCAAGTCAACTTGCAAGAGCTGTAGCATTCTCCTGCCCTAAGACAAGATGATGTCTTATAAGACAAGATGATGGCGTACAGCCAATAAAGACAGGATCCCGTTTCTTAAGAAAATTAGAAACGCAGAGCCTCCCATCTGAGGACGGTGTGGTCTGTGGAGATGACACAACCCTCAGGATACCCCCCCGCAGGGCAATGCCCTGCTCATGTGTCCCCAGAGAGGCGTGCAGACAGGGGTCAGTGGATCAAACCAAGTGCGCATGGGGGGCAGGGCAAGTCTGTATTTACAGGGTTTGTATGTTTTTACGGATTGCAGCAATTAAATAGTTGATTACTGTGTTGATTTCAATACTTCTATGAGAGCGTTCGGATGAAAATAAACGTTCATATTACCATGATGAAGCTGGGGTTGTTTCTGTTCCTCCAACTGAAAGACGGCACGCTGATCTCGGGGACTCCGGCGCCGTGGAGCACCTCGCACGCACTGTGCGTGTGGCCGCTCAGGATGAGGCGTGGTCGCAGCCACCAGAGCAGCTGCCACGCCCGGGGGGACAGCAACAGGCGGTCAGGGCCTGGACACAGCCCCCTCGGGGCCCAGTGCCAGGCCACCCACTTATCTCATGAAGCTAAATCTAAAATCCCTACTTGTTAGGGGGCTTTATTTTTTCCTTAAAATCCTTTGGTTGGTTTAGACCCGATCAAAAGTAAGCTCAGGCTTGTAGGGAGAATCTATCCTTCTCATCTCAGATTTTATATTTTTACAAATATTTCTATAAATTTATTTTATAAATATATTTATATTTTTATTGTATATCATACATTATACAAATGTGTTTATATAATATAAATACATTTATAAACATACATAAGCACATCTTAAGTCCCCCCAAATTAATTCTTCAGTTCCATTCACATTTTCAAATACATTTCAGTTGATGAAAAAAACTCTGGATAAAGAATAGCTGAGGATATTATTAACTTGATATTAGGAAACATGGGGCGCCTGGGTGGCTCAGTCGTTAAGCGTCTGCCTTCGGCTCAGGTCATGATCCCAGGGTCCCGGGATCGAGCCCCACATGGTCGGGCTCCCCGCTCAGCGGGGAGGCTGCTTCTCCCTCTCCCGCTCCCCCTGCTCATGTCCTGTCTCTTGCTTTCTCTCTCTCAAATAACTAAATAAATTCTTGAAGAAAAAAGGGGGGGAGGGGGCGGCGGGAGGAACAAAAGGATGACATGAAATCTGCCACACCCCCGCCCTCAGCCCCCGGGCGGCACCCCCCGACCGTCTGTCTGTCGGTGGGTGGGCCCCCGCTCCCCGCAAACCTGCTGTGAGGCCTCCCGGGAGAGCACGTCGTATCTCTCCTTAAACGGGATGGCCCGCTCTTCCAGAGGCGCGGCGTCCTCCCCGGAACAATTCGCATCGCTCCTCCGGAAAAGCGGGAAATGCTGCCGGGATTTGGAGAGGGTCCCGTGTGACCAGCAGGCGCTGGCCGAGGGGCCGGAGCCCCGGAGCCCCGGAGCCCCGGAGCCGGGGCCGCGCGGTGCGCACTCACCTGCAGGAGCACCGGGGCCGACGCGGGCAGCAGCGGCGCCCCCCGGCAGCGGCCGGGGCCACGTTTCTGCGGTGAGAAATCAGTTAAGCCGCCAGAGCCGGCCCTCCCCGAGCGGTAGGAAAGGAAGGGGGCGCTGAGGGATGCACCAAACACAAAGTGCAGCGACTGCCCCCACAGAAGATGCCAGAACAGACGCACCTGTGCCTCCAGGTGCTCTCCTACCTCGCGGGAGCAATTCAGTTTGTGAGAAATTTCGATGAGTTCGGCTTCGGCTTCAGAGCAAATGTGGCAGCCATCCCCTTCCAGGGCGACGCTGTTGACCAGCACAAAACTGAGGCGGAGGGAGCAGGCGCAGAGTCAGCGCCCCTGGGCTTCCCGGGCCGGCCTCCGGCCACACTGCTCCCGAGACCCTAAAGCTGAGCGCCCACGGCCTGAAGAACGCGCCGCAGCGCAGCCGTAGGCCTCAACCCGACCGCCGTGTTGTAGGCACGAGTTACTAAGAAAGCACGACAGCGCTACACTGGGAGTGCGGTCTAAGACACGGTCAAGTTTTAGCCTTGAATGGGCAAGAACTCCCAGATTACAGAGCTCTGAGATCGGAGCACCACTGCGCCCCCCATGTCACCCTGTGCCTCGCCTGTGAAGACGCGGACACAGCAGCACACCCGTGCCACGGACTGCTGAGGACCGAATGCAGTACTACAACCTGCCCGCCACGAGGAAGTCCTCAGGAACCGCGCAGCGCTGTGACCGTGACGTTCAGCGAACCGTGCGCAGCATTTGCGGACGTCTGTACAGGCAGCAGACAAGGCTGGGGGGCCGGGGAGGGCTGTGCTGGCCAGAGCTAACTGCTGCAGAGGATCCCAGACCAGGGTGCTGATAAAGTCAGTGATGGTTGCCCTCTACAAACCACTCTACCTTCATGAGACTTTTACAGACTCCCATTAAGTAACTCTTACTTCCTACACACTTACCAACTGGGCATGAAGAAGGTACCTGTCAGTAAACACTGCGGGAAATTTAAAGAATCTTAGCGATTAGGAGCTGACAAACCGAACGACCTGAAATATGATCAGTGTGTTTAAAGTTTCTTAAACTCTACGCTAAGGGAAAAAGAACTAAAACTATGTCAAGTCTTTATAGGACTCAGGAAAGGAAGCTTAGAGACTCGGTCCTAGGGGAGGGGAGGAGTGAGCATTGGTGGAGAACCCCTGACCTGGTCTCTGGGAGTGTCACAGATCATCTCTTGTGATGGACCCAGTGAGCTGCCACGGCCAAAGCCACGAGCGCTGGACACCCATGGGGGCCACAATCTAAAGAGGAAGAGGCTTCCTCTCCCACCTCTTCTTTCTCTACTAGGTCTGCAGCCAGAACAACGTGTCCGGTCTTGTCCACTGCACTGCGAACACACACCCAGACCTGAGAGGGTCCGGAGACAGCACGAAAATGGCCACACAGAAGGGGAACTGGTGCTCATGGTCAGACGAAAGGGTCGGGACGCTTTGGTCTACAAATCAAGGCTGAGGGGAGTGGGGGTGGTACACAGCCAAAGCACAGTAAACACACCTGCCCCCAAATCCTGGGTGAGCATACCCACAAGAGCATCCTTTATAAGGGGAAGGAAGTACATTTTGAACAAATAAAAATATGCTCCTTTACAGATTGGGCTGATGAATTTTCTACCACCCAGAGACATTGCAGGCAGGAAGAAAATGCCCTCAGTGGCTGGGCAAAGTCATACACTGGCCAGTCCACTTGCAGCTTGCTAAGGAACACCAGGCTGGTAACCCTGACAGTGACCATCAGGGAGGGATGAGGCCTGCGGTGCCTTCATCAGAAACTGTACAGGAGGTCACACGGAGCCTGGCTCCGACCCAGGACGACAGCTCCCTTAGAAAATGAAGTTCAGGGGCGCTTGGGTGGCTCAGTCGTTAAGTGTCTGCCTTCGGCTCAGGTCATGATCCCAGGGTCCTGGGATCGAGCCCCACATCGGGCTCCCTGCTCCGCGG